TACTATTATATTTAGAGGTACAACTAATAATAAATAAAATGTATTCTATGATATCCGAATTATATGTTTAATATTAAACGAAAACTTATATATGAGATTCTTAATTAGATTAAATCAAAATATCATTAAATTTTGAGAATTTTTAATTATTTTGTATTTACTATAAATAGTTCTTGAAAGAATATTAATTCAATGTTTTCAAATCCGAAATCCGGGTTTTCAAACTTAAGCGAATCCGGATTTTTCCCATCACTAATACCCATTAATCCAAGTTGTGTCCGTGATCTGAATTTATTCAAAATATGAAAAATAAAAATACCACAATTTTATCACGAAATAATTAGTGGAAAGTACTGACAAAATCATCAGCCAAGAGTTACAAAAAAAAAAAAAACATACCGTTTTTAATAAATCCTAATCCTAATTTTTTATAATATAACTAGAGATCAGATTAATATTCTCTTAAAATCCTTAAAATATTATGTTTTTATGACGTTTAAAAAAGGCAATATATTCTTTAAATATTTTTAAAAATACCAAATTTATAATGTTTTATGTCTTTAAATATACAAATATTATTCCAATATTCAGTAAAAAAAATTATTTTTTTTAATTACTTGGTTTAAATTTATCAATTAATAAATTTTATTATTAATTTAATTTACAGTAAAATTTTTGAAAAAAAAAAAAATCGATTTTAATTCAAATTTAACCGTACGTGGATTACCCCTAATATCTAGTGATTAATTTTTTTCACAATCTAGGATATAAAAATAACTAATACTGTGAATATTGTATCTGTTAATCGATATTATCGAAATGTTGATGTAGTTACGTAATACGTGCATGGATGTGCAAACAAATAGTAGATCATAAAAATTATTTTTATCGAAAAAAATATTTACAAAAATAAAAATGTTTATAAAATATTCTCTAACGTATTGAATATTCCCATATCCTAAAATATGCATTTTTATGTAAAATACATGTATTATATATTGTTTTTTTATTTTTCCGTCCTTATAAATGGTTTTGATCAAGTGACTATCAACTTTTTTTTATTTTCTAATAGGTATTCATTGTAATTTGTTTAGTGAAAGGCAATCGGTCATATAAGGAATTTATCTTCAATTTTCAAAACAATTAAGAGAAAATGAAAAAAATTGCAAAAGACGGTAATATATTCAAGATAATGGCTTTTGACAAAATTACGATATAACTTGACAATTGTTGCATTATTTATCATAGAAATTTGAAATTGTCATGTTTTCTCATATTTTTTTCAAAAGAAAATTGATAAAATTATAATCAAAAATATAGAATATTTAATAAACTTTTTTTAATATAAAGAGAAAAAAAATTCCGAAATTACTTTTCTTAATTTTTTTTTTATTAATATTTGAACTTTAAATGTAGAAAAATCTCAGCCAAAATCTGAATTTATAATATTTATTTTATAAAATGTACTAAACCTTCAAAAATTATACTTATGGCGTGAAAATTGAATACAAGATTATTCACCAGTTATTACTTATACTCAACAATAAAGGTTGACTAGAAAGTCAAAAAAATATTTAATAATCATATTTAATATTATAATATTAGTTTTGATATTTCAAAAAACTTTTTAAATTATCTCAATATTTTTACGGACTGCGATCAGACGTTATTAGTTATTACTTTTTTGTTGTTTACGAATATTAGTCGTATGGACTTGAAACATAAACCAAAAACATGTTTTTATTAAATTAGTTATAAATTAAAATCCAGTGATATAATTTATATTATTTTTTTTGTTAGAGTTGTTTTCACCTTTGTGATTGCTAAATAATAAACTGAATATGTATACGATTATATTTATACATTTTTTTTAGTCATTAAGAGGCTGAAGCTGTCATTCTCCTCCACTCAGAATAGTTTTTCTAAATTAATAGATTCAACGATATTTGTACTTGTATATCTTTCGATTCTTATTTTTTGTAATTTTTCACGTATCACACATATTTTTCGCATAAAATTCTATATCTTTTCTTTACACATTTTTTTATTCAGTTATTTGTGAATTATAGGTTCACCTGACTTACACCAATATAATTGTAGATACCTTTAAGTTAAGTTAAACTGAACCTCGTAAATTTGTGCTGAGTATTACTTTGATTGAATTTATGTGAAATAAACAACTTTTTTATATAAATAATTTATCATCTAATTATGTAATATTTAAAAATAAAAATAAAACGGAACCTAGAATAATATTTTTCTAAGCTATGTTATATTACATGAAATAATTACTTTTATTTCCCACATTAATTAGTTAATGATAACAAGGACCAATATAGTTTTATTTGTAACTTTTGACATGATGATCTCGAAGATTAACTTAACCTTAGCTGATAAAACTAATTTTTATTTCAAATATAGTTTTCAATATTATGAATTATTAATTTTAATATTATATTTAATTATCACTATTCTTAGTAAAACTATCAGTATCGTCATGACTCCGTCGAACATCATATTATCGATTTTAAGTTGTTTGGCAATTTTTCACAAATTACTACAAAGCAGTAACTTAATGTTTCCTTTTTGCTAAGATTAATTAATATTAATTTTATGAAATATTTTAATTTTATTTCAATACCTAATAATATTTTTTTTATGTATCTTAATAATTAATAAAGCTTATTCTTATATTTTTTAATTAATTTAAAAATATATATAGTTTAGTATTTAAATAATAATTTTACCAAAGTTTATTATTTTTCTGCCAACTGGAAATTATTAAATTGGCTGAATTATTCATAGTTTTATATTAAATTATGAAACTTATTTAAACAAGTAGGTATCAACATTTTTTTTTAAATTTATAGTTATATTTTAAATTTTCGTAGTTTCTTAGATTTATTTTCGTAAAGTGATTATTAAATAATTTTGAAGAGTTAAAATATTTTTAAATGTAATACAAAATATCATGGTATGTTGTTCTTATTTTCATAAAAAAAATATAAAAAATTCATGGTCACAAATATTGAATTTTATGTTTTTTCAAAATTCAACAAAATTACGATTACACATATGTATGATATTTTTTAGTTAGAAATGTATACAATTTAAAGTTTAATATTTAAACCAATGGTATATTAATTTAATGTGAACCCAACTATTATATATTTTGATTTTTGTTTTATAGCTCAAAAAACAATGTATACACATCGTATATATGTAGCTTACTATATTTTTAAAAAAATATAATCAATCCTTGCACGACGTTTATCATTAATTCTAGAATATTAATTTATTCAATTATGTCAGTATATTATTATATTCTCTTTGTAAGATTACGTTTGAATATTATATTTTAGACTCATCGTAATTATTTAAATTGGATGATATATGTAAATGATGTTATAAGTAAAATCATCCTTAAGTATATTCTTCTTTAATATCTTTATTTTTTCTCTATTCGAGTTATGCTCGGTTGATATTTTATTATACCAAACGAACCAAAACCAATTAATAGTTTAACTGACTAAATAATTATGTATTAAGATATTTTATTCAACATTAATCCTAACACAATTTTATTAAAATATACTCACTCATTTTCACCTCTTCCAGAATTAACTACCATTTTTTAATTGACTGTTTTTGACGTATACTGTTATAAAATATTAAGGTCTAAGAAAAATCTCCACCGTATAATCTGATTATATACTACTTTCGATATTACTTTTCAACTGTTGATCCGTTCTTTCTTTTGTTAACAATAACAAGTAATATTAGTCCGATAGGACAGTATAATGTTAATCGTCCGATGAAAATTATAATAACATTTGATTCAGAGCTGTTTTGGACCTTCATATATTAGATAAATTATTAATTGTATTTTAGTGTCTATTTAGGAACTGAAATAAATAAATAAATAATATTAATCTTAGATTAACTTAATGTATGACTGTTCTATGCTAATCTTTAATATAGGCTATATGCGGACACACTATACGATGCTCATAATCCAAGACAATTATTAATCATGAATGGTCGTATACTGGAAAATATTATTACTCACATCAACTATAATTTAGAAATACGAGTTTCTGTAAATAAGTCTTAAATTTATTTTTATCTAAATAAAAGTATATAAATATTTATAAATTATTATATTAAGAATTATTACATGGAAGGTTATAACGAAATATTATGTATTGTGGCATCATTATGATGGTTGAAATAAGTATTTATAAATCAGGAATTTTAATTCACGTATAAATATGAAAAGGAACACGGGACAACAAAAATAAAAACTCTCCTGGATCGGTCGCAAGCTCGCATAGAGGTTTTAGTATAACGTAAACTCTTGTTAAATATTTTTTTCGTAATACTTCGCTGATAAGAATAATTTAAGTAATTTGATTTGTTTCAAGTTGCGTAGAATAAAGTTCTCGTGAACCAAATTCGGGCATATACTACAGAGTATACTATAGCTTTGAAGAACGTAGAGAATTAACACACTTTTTGAGACCATAAAAAGAAGAAAATATGCTAATACTTATAAGAATAGGATCGTATGTGTTTGCTGAAAGAGATCATATACGTACGGTAAATGTGTATAATGATGTACCTACATCGTTTATGTATGCACGTAATGTGTTTGTTCAACGACCAACCGTATGATGCGATGTTGAGTGTCGCAAATACTTATCGTGACGTTTACAATCGTAATTCGATAAACGTTGCCGAGAAAATGTTTATCACGTTCGATATGAACCACTGACAAATTTTCGGTCGGTGCTTTATGTTTAATGTGCAACCAATGTGATCAGCGGACTCTACTGGTGCACAAAAAGCACAGTGCATACTTTCGAAACTTTCGCAAGACTGGAACGTGAGAACCGCAACAAATGGCCGTAAAGTAACAAGATACATACGAACGGCCCCGAATGGCTTTTCGATAATTTTCGATAAAATTACAATTACGGTCTATGTTGAATGATCTATGATTTGAAAACGGCGTATTACGTTATGTTTAATTAATTCAAATCAATATCGATTCAATATCTGATCATATATCATCAACTTCAACGAGCAATTCTTTTTTCTTTCAACTACCACCCTAATTGTTGGTATGTTTTTAGAAGGCTGATAATTTTTAATAAAAACTCAAAAAGCTTATTGTAATAATACATAGAAAATACATGCCGCATGCATAATTCACAGTTCTTGACGATCGTTTGATTCTGTCCATTCTTCAAAACTTAAATAGAACTCATCGTCACATTTCAGTTTGCTAGTTGAAAATAAACTGAAAATTCAATAATTATGTAAAATATGACATAGGTAAATAATAAAGTATATATAAGTTTAATTACTTATGATCAACTAATTTAAATATATCTTTTTGTACGTGATTCACATTTGAAATAGCGCATATTACATGACCAAGAGTAATTTTTTTAATTATTTTAAATTGCTCTAAAAAAAGCAAAAACACAATAAATGAGTATATATATGTTAATCAACTTTTGAAATTTATTAGTCTCGTGTAAGTTCAACTTACCAGGAGTGAAACTTCCTGGCTGTCCTTGGACATCGTAGAAAAATCGATCACCGGCTTTGTACCGATAGAAACCATCGGCAATTAAACACTGGGTGGTTGGACCGACAATGGCACCGTCACTAATTTTTTCTAATAGAAGTCCTACGATTAAGTCAATATCATCGACGGAATGGTATAGTTCTTTTAGTTTGTTTATGTCCTAAAATTTTATTATTTTATTAGTTATTACGTCATGGCCACTTATGTCGGGTACGGAACCAGAAAAGTAATATGGAATTGTATATTTGTGTTAGAAGTTAAAGGGTTTGTAAATATTTATATTATTAAAATGTTTACAAAACAATCATATTCTAGGGCGAAGAAATCAAAATATAATAAAACTAATTTTTATAATTTATTATTAAGTAATCCATTTCATACTCTAATGTGTATCAAGTCCTCCAAATCTGCAAAGCTCTTAGCGAGCGGAAGTCCACATAAATGTTTGACTTTGATGTAAGGTTGTAAGCCTACATCTCGACCTCTTGCGATATCTAGTGCTAGCAAATCACGTCCTGTATACCGAGGTTTTCCGGGGAAACTGAATAAATAGTTGGATATCTGAAAAAAAATATATATGTGTTATGAGTTAAATTAATTTCAATTACTTATGTTTTTAAACCTATAATTTATTAAAATGTTTTATACAATAAATTGTTGTAAATAATATAGTACCGTCTTCAATTATATTTTGTTACGACTTGTATACGTTTTATGTAAGAAGCAAATAAAAATCTGATTTATATTTTCTTATTTCAACCTGCCCCTCCCTCTATATATCCCAAGTAAATTGTGTAAAGGGATCGGAAACTCATATATTGTTTTGCCGTAGTTTCATAACATAGAAAAAACAACTAACTTTTTTCCAATCAATATAACTGATATACTGAAACAATAAGGACTCTGAAAACGAAATCAATATTCTCGTGAAGTCTATTCGAGATCGATCGGGCAATTTTTTTAATTTTATTTTCATTTTAAATATTGTATGCAATATTCGAAATTATTAATTATTTTGTTAAAATATAATTTATGAATTATATAGAGCCATAAAAGTGGCCTGATTGATTACAAGTAGGCTTCATGCTGATATAAGTTCTGTTTTCACAATTTTTAAAGCTTTAATACAACAATCATGCCGAAAGAATGGGAGGATAGCTGGGTACGCGTGAAAAACAAATGAAACTCGTATTAGTTTCGCATCCCCTTAATGAGGTTATACAATAAGACGTAGTGTAACACGTTTCCACCAAAAGTGTACATTTCCCTTTTCCACCAATATTCATTTCCACCAAATTATATTTTAATTGACATCCGTTTTCACGAATCTATCTATTTCTGTATCATTTGCAATTACATGAATTATTTTTTTATAAATATGGACAATACACTATACACAGTTTGAAATACTCATACAGTCATATGATATGAAGTTAATATACTGTCTTTGATTTATCTCATTCAATCGACATAAAAGTACACATGAGTAAATGAGGAAACTCATTTCTTAGTACTTTGTTTGGGCTTATGGCTTATAAATAACAAAAATAGATACATTGTATGAAGCTATAAAGACAAAATAATGCTTCACCTCTTCGGTACTGGTTGGGTATTCTTAAATTAATGTTATCGTATTTTATTTTAACGTTAAAATAAGCCAAAAAAAATTTATTGCAGAGTTCCATATGAACCATATCAATACTTAAGACACATAATTATGTAAAAAAATACGTTGAACTAGTGAATATTGTAATAGAAATTGATTTGGTCGAAACAGGTATTAGTTGATAACGGCAAGGTAAACTTTTGGTGGAAACGTGTTCCGCTCATAAAACGTGCGATGAAATTACATAGAAATTGTACGAGGGTTGAACCATACGACCTGGTGTCTCCAGGAAACCTTTTAATAGTTTATCGAAATTGTCTTTAATGGGTAATAAAACTGGCCGTAACATCCAATCCGTAATGTTTTCCGATGATGTAATTTCATACTCATTGTTCATGAAACTATAAAAATAAAAGTCATAATAATTATACGTTTCATGATTATTGTAAACAGTATAACAAATGGTTATGATCGCAGTGCATACTTGAATTGGACTGGTATGATTGCGTGTAGAACGCGTATAGCAGCGCTTGACAACTCTAAAGCCATTGATGGATTAACCGTCGGATCGTAAATATTTTCTTTGTTAATACCGTATATTTGTTGATAATCTTCTCCTAATTTCAAAAAAACATATACATATTATACTGTCAAATCGTGCTTCATAAATTTCAATAATCTTTTGGTGATATGAGATATTTCGGTATTATTAATTTATTGTCCTACTCAATACGTACCAATTATTATGGGTAAAAGATCATTGTAAACTATACGTTGAATAGTTGCAATGACAATTCTTCGTGATTCTTGATAAAGTGTTTCATCAGACCAGTAAGGATTTAATGCCATTAGTTTAAAAGCAATATAATTGTGAAATCTTAAAAATGCTGTTTGCATCACTCCTATTCCTAAGTTTTGATTTCCATTGGTTGGATCGCCTAGTTAAAGTATATTAAAAATAATATTACGATAATTCAATTATATTATGACTTATAAATAATTAATCAAATATAATTTATTTTTAATACTGGAATATAATGGCTTAATGATTTCATAACAAACTAGAAACTCTTATGGATATAAATTAATCACCCAAAAATAGAAATGATAAGTTCTTTGGAAAAATAATAGTTTTGGACCCATCCCTAACCTATAAAGTTAAAATTGTAATCGAAATGCTATACTCTCATACACAATTTACTTTTTATAGCACTTTAATTGAATGGAGAATATATCGATGACTAAGGGACCAAAAGTTGTAAGTCCATTTTTCCTCAAAATTGTTTTATAAGTCCATTAAGTAAATCTGAATCGTATTTTCCATTAAATCAAATACTATAAGTCAAATATCATTGTAAATAGGTTTTTATGTACTTAAAATGCTGTGTATTTATGACAAGATAGGCTTTTTCAGTGTACACGTGTAATAAGTCCTATATGACTTGGACTTACAATAAGTATTTTAACTTGACTTAAATATTAAGTGGACAAATATAATAAATCCGAATTCATTATTTTTCCCAAAAACAATTTAGTCAGTTTCGGACATGTAATGTTTATGAGAATCTATATTATTCGAATCTATTTATAAAACATGATACGTCCGGGCTTAATATCACTGAGAAAAATAATCTTATTCTGGTCTTATACATATTTTGTTGTTTTAAATACTTATAACATGGTTAGAATAATTTGTTTAGGTTTTGGTCGATTCATTGCCTAGTGTAAAATTAAATTAATTAAAATACGTCGTTTTATTGTTAACAAAATAAAAATAAAAAAAGAAAGTATAATTTTCATGAATGATACACATATTATATTATTTTATAAAATTTACATATACACATATAATATAATATAATAAGACATTTATTCATATTATTACTATAGATAATAGTTGAAAAAGGTTTTTATATTTTAACTAAGTCAAGAGTTAATTTATTTATATATTATTTGGGAACAAAATATACCAACAACTTAAAATTGTTTATAACATAAAATATTACAGATCTTATAAAGCAGTATTAACTACTTTCAATTAGTATTATTATTTTTTTATTTAAATTTTAAGAAAATTTAATTTTTATTATATGTCCATCAAAACATTGTGTACGTCTTTGGCAATAACAAATTACAACTGTCATTTATAATAAGTCCCACTTACATTAAATAAAATCATTCAAACTGCGTTTAAAACAATTAAATAATCCAAATGTAAAACGACTAGGTTCTAAAGAACATTTTATACTTAAATCAGTCATAACCCAGAAAAACGAAAAATTATTACGTGATTTATATTTTGAAAGATTAAAAACTTTTAAACTGCTCTCCTGAAAAATGTAGTCATTGTGACTTACAACTTTTGGCCTCTTAGCCATTAATATGAAAATATAATATTATTATTTAACGTAGTTCTTAAAATATTATAAATAATATCATATTGAGTCTTATAAATATATACTGAAAAATGTGTGTATTAATTAGTAAAAATATAACTAATTATTTTTATTATAATTACAATATTTATTTATCCCTATAAATATTGATTAATTTTACGAAATTTATATATATAATATTGAAGAAATACAAGTTACCAAATCATTTTTATATTAATACTGTGTTTGGTATTTTATATGGTGTGATTAACTGCATATTTTATAATTATTAAACTATTCATAAAATTTAATAAAAAAATAATGTGTTAGTTGTAGAAGGCAGTAAAAACGGTAAATTTAATACAACTGAAGGGCATGTGATTAAGAATAGAATATTTTTCTGTAAATCGAACCTGAATCGTATTGAAAAGAAGTATGTTGCAGCTCAACAGGTTCGTATTTCTTTTTTTGTTGGTATGGGCAGAACATCTGACCGTTGTCGCCTATCGAGAAATTAAGTCTTCCGCCCTCCATTAGTCTAAGACGTCGGGCATCGGTGTCGGTCGATCCATACACGTTTGATGCGTCGATGAAATGGGTGTTGTCATTCATCTGTAATATGGGGCTCATGCATATTATTATAATACGTGACACATCGCTACAACCATGGGCGCAGTTAAAGCCTAAATATTAACGGTGCTGAAATTGTTGAAAATTAAATTAAATGGTATTTAACTGTTATTACTATAGATTATTTAAATCTAAAAAAAAGACAAGAGTGCTACATTTGAACTCAGGGGTTCTAAAAACCTTATTGCACCCCCCTAGTTGCACTTATGGTTACAGTGGATAATTATGTCCATGGTTCGATAAATTCGACTTACAAACGTCGTAGGGTACAACGGACAGCTGTAATTTCTCGACGTCAACGAGCGTACTAATCCCATGCAAAATATATTGTGTTTACTGTAAACTGGGTCATCGGGTGGATTTTCGACGACCAGCTGACACTGACTGAACGTCTTTCTCGCGTTCTTGTCGGTACAGCAATCCGTCACCACATCTGAAAAACGTTTCCGTTCGAAAAAAGTGTTGAACGAAAGATGTGTTGTGTACAATCATGATATTACGATGAAGAATATTGAAACCAATCTCATAGTTGGTGATAGTTAAAGATTATCAACCTACTGAACTCGTTTTCCGGTACGTCGTTTGTCAAACCTGACAAATCGTGGGCCAACAGTTGTGAAAACGGCAGTAAGAGTACATTGTTTTCGTCCACGTGATACTTTTCTCGGGTCAGGAACACGTTGATGTCCACGACTCTGGCACTAGGCAATGCACTTCCATTTGTTTGGTTTCTTAACTCGTAATAACCTTGAAACAATTATTTTCGTTTTCTAATATTTTTTTCTAATCTACCATGGATGGGCTTTTAGGACGGTAATATATATTTTTTGAAACGAAATTATATTTTATCAATTACCATCAGCATAGTTAGCTTTAAGCATACGAAGAAAAGGTGTTTTCGATGCACCCAACGTAGGTTTAACCAAATTATTACAGGATCCATTAATTCTTCTATATTTTGCATTTGGATCACATTTTACTCGAGGAGCACATTGCATTAGGTAATCATTATACGTTGTATCGACACTCGAAATGTGTAGTTTGTGTTTTGTTGTCTGTGATTTCTTCAAGCACCAAACAAATCAATAAACAAAATGATTAAAATAATAATATTTTTGTTTTATATGAACAAAAAATGAATATGTTGATTTTTAATATTGTACGAATTATCAAGAAACCGCTCTCAATACTAGGCTTAAAAAAGCTTTTCAAATATTTTTACACTTGACTTTTTCAAAATATAATTCGCATTAGACTCTTACAATCTTATAATATTATAGTCACAAAAATAGAATAAAATGACGTGATAATTATATTTTAGTTATTAGTTTTATTTTATAATGATACCTCTGTAGTTGCACTGGGTACTTGTTGATTCACATTCTTGAGTATAACAAATATCACAACAAAGAATATTAAGCATAATACGAAAATTATGAGACCCCACTTAAAAAAAGGTTTAGAGTTCCATTTTGTATTTGAATTTATTTTTCTTTCTAACAATGGTCTGAAACGAGAAAACGAATTAATTCTAAGTTAAAATACTATTATTACTAAATAAAATACTTGGTGTACTAGTTATAAAGATCTTTCATCATCTTAAATACAGGTTTATTAAAACAGTGATAATTAATTATAAATATGCATTTGTTAATTTTCAATAATATGAAATTCAATAACAGTTAAAATACAAATGCAATTTACGATAAGATATGCTTATAAAAATGTTGATTAACCAAAGATTTATTCTATAACATTTGTATTTATTGAACACTTATAAATTCTGAAAATGATCAAACTTGATTTTATTTGATTATATGTGTATAATATGACCTGCATTATGTTTATTAAGACATTCATTCCGCCCTATAAGCATTAAAGCTATGATTTTAATTCCGGTAAATCCTTATTTATTTTAAATTGTAAAACACTGTAGACGGCAAAATCATAAAAAATGTAGTTTTTCTATTATTAATATATTTTAAACGTAGAATATATGATTTAATAATAAATAAATAATTTAGTATAATGTAGTAATGTAATTATTAATCATTACATAATTATTATATGATTATATAATTGGTTAAGTAACATGATGTTTCACACTTTAATCATTTATTAACAAGTGTTATCATTACTTTATCTTAAATATTATTATTATTAAATACGGGCTTAACCCAAAGTACAGTAGTGATAATTAAATATAAAAGAACAATAGATAGTTAATGAAGTATGAACGTCATACATTTTTTTTGAAATAAAAATTAATATAAAATAATTATTAAAATACTTTAGGAATATAAGTTAAAAAATTCATCGTTCGGTATTGTACTTACTTATTTTCATCGCTTTGGAACAATGAACCCATCTTATTAATATATCTGCGATTTAATTGAAAATGTACCTACACTGAAAATTAATGAAAAATTATTTAATTTAGAAAAAAAAATATGTGTGAGTAAATCGCATAGCAAAATATATCGTCTTAAAAAAAAATTTTATATTTATCAACGATATATAATAACACATTATAATAACAATTAAAAATTGTTTCGTGGTATGATATTTTTTACCATCAATTTGAAAAATTTCCCCTCTCAAGCCAATTATATAAAAATCGATTTAAATATAAAATTGAAATTGAAATTGATTAGAGGAGCTCCTATTTAAATATTTAAAACATTTATAGATTTTTTTTTCAAAGGCAATTATTTCAGAGGACAGGAAAATCTATGCAAATATTTTTTCCCGATAAGAATTTGAAAGAACTAAATTGCAGTTAATACGCAGATATCATCGCATAATGTAATCTTCAGGTCCTGACAGAGAGTGTAAAAAGAACGGACTTTATTGGTCCGGAACGAAATTAGTCTCAATTCTAGACTCAATCATATTAAATAAATTGCAATTTAACGTATTATAAATATTTAGATATTATTGTATAGAAAAATTGTAAATATTACGAGCAATATGGAATAGCGGACAATTTACATATTACAGTACAATTTGGTACCGCCTGGACAATTTAAGCTGTTATTAAAAAAAACAATATTTTTATATTTAATGTTTTATTAAAAAAAATTTTATTAATAATATGTTTTAAATATATTTTATTTATAGCTATAATTATTTATTTATTTATATAAGATAAACCAAAATGGTATATAGAATTACAAAATCTATCACATTTCTTACACTTTATTAAAACACAATAGGTTAATCGAAAATATAATTTATTCCATATAATTATACCATTCAATATAGATATTAGTTTTATCATTTGATTATGGTTTTATGGGAAACAATACTTATGAGAAAATATATATAAAAAATAATTTAAAGATAATTTGTTTAAAATTGTGGTTCAAATATTCCCGGGTAGACAAAACGCCTGGGCATAGTATACATTTTATTCCATATTATCTGTAAAATATATATTTATATATATATATATTAATTTCAATAAAAATAAACCAAAATTAACCCTTCATCTGTACACGGGTTCTTTTATAGCACAACCAAAATTTCGAAAATGCATTTTATTTTTTACAATTTCGTCACTTTTACAATGTTATAAAAAATGTAACTATTAATGAATTATAAAAAAAACCTCAGGATCTTAAAGAACTACCTTCAATTAGTAAATGTAAATTTTTTCGGATTTTTCCTAAATGTTTTTAGTATTAAAAAACACGTTTGTTCATTTATGATCCAGTGTAGAGACGACGCCCCAAAAAATAAGTTTACAGACGAAATATTAAAGCAATGGAATAACATCGATTGATACTTTGTAAATTAATAGAATTTCAATGAAGAATTATAAAATTCTGTTGAGCAGGAAACAGGTATTGCAGCATAACAAAACGGTTGGGTAAAGGAAAAATAAAAATAAAAAAGCGAGTTCGCAAAAAAAGAAAAATCCCAAGCGCGAAACGTGAATTTAGAAAACGGTTTTTTCAAATAGAGTGAAAAGCTATATTAATCGCGAAACACAATGTTCAAAAACATTGATATGATAAATCCATCGTGGAATAATTATTACGATCTAAAAACATGGTACCCGCGAAATTGTTTACAACATAATCGAAATAACAATATTACCCATTCACCAACTTGCTGGACGATACCGACAGAGATATTTTGGCTTCTGCTACTACGTTGTGTTTGATCGCATGAGTTTATTTAGATAGTAAAATAATACTATTAACCCAGGGAAATGGGTAACGAATGTTGCCGACATATTGGCTGATAAACGAAAAATCGTTAAGGTTTGAAGCCCGAATTGCATGTGTCTATTGATTGTCCGTGTAACGAGTGAATATTAAACCTTGATCCCATGATTGAGAAACACCTTTGCACTTATACTCCTTTTCTAACTGATCATAACATAATACAAATAATAATAATAATAATAATAATACAAGTATCAATACAATTAATATTTTTTACACAATAGGTGCAAATAAATGGTATACAACCCGTGCACCCAACATATAATCAAAAGGACGTAGTGGTCGGTTACGGAAAGTATAACTATATTATAAAAATTATTATCACAAGGGACAATTTTTTGGCCTTCTCATATATTTTTAATCATACGTAGAACATTAAATAATCGACTGTGTTGCATACATTACTATGTAGTTTTTAGAGAAAAATATATCAAAAAATCGGATGTAACTTACTAAAATATGATTTTTAAAAACCAGTTTTAACCAGTAACCGATTCCCAACAAATCTTAACATCGGTTTTTAAACGATTAACAGTTATTATAGTTTTTGAAATATCCTTAAAGAAACGATTACCGGTTATCAAAATTAAACGATAACCGGTTACCGGTTTTAAAAAATATTCGGCTCCTATCAGAGCCGATTACCAACTTTATTATGAACGGTTTTAAGCCCTGTTTAAAAAAAATATAAAAATGTTTATAATAATATAATATATCTAATGTATTTGTAAAATCTATTTTTATTTTATTTTAATTTTATATTTTAATATATTTCTTGTGGAGTGTATCACACTATGAAGAATTTGATGATTATTTTAAAATGAAACACATAATAAAAGTTCTTAAAATGTACCGTTTGATTGGTTCAGCAAGAACAAAAACAATTCCTTGAATATTTAATGATGGATTATCTTGTAATATATACATAGATAAATATAATCGAGACTTATAATGAAAATAATTACGTTTAATCTAGAAAAAAATCAAATTGGACAGACACAGATTTTGAGTGTGTTTATTTTGATTTTTTTTTTTTTTTGTAATGGTAGTAGTCACACGTTTCTGTTTCAAATTGAAAACCGTTATAAATCATTATTTTGTCGAATTATTATGAATGTATTTTGTAGTTATATACGAATAATAACTGACTATTATTACAATTGAAATGAATCTTATAATAAAAAATAATTGCCAATAACTGTGTACATAGTCAGTTATATCTCGACATACATTCGTTAATTTTAAAAACATTATCACAGACGACTTGTACTAATTATAAACACTTATTAGAAATGAAACACATGATAAGTATCGCATAGCATTTTCAATCAATTAAACAAAACTCAGTTATTAGTTATCAATATATTTATTTACTTATGTTGAACCATTAATTATTTAAAATCGATTAAATACTCCAAACGAATCTCAACATATTGCTTACTAAATGGATTTCATGTACGTGTTATATAATATATATTATATTTATATTTATAATCTTATATTATAAGAGTATTTAAATTCGACATTATTATTTTTTTTTAATGGATAATAGCGAACAATAATGCTATACGTAAATCAAAATTAAATGTTGATTTTTTGGTACTTGGTACACACTGCATGATTAACCTTTGCGATAATTCATTACTATCAGAATATCGTATTACATAACTGATGTGTGTAATAAATGTATTAAAATGTCGATTTACGGAAAATCGTTTTTGCAATAGATTTATATTCCACATGGTTTATAAAACAAAATTTTCCCATCGGTTGAAAAACCAAAACCTTGTTCACCGAATTTGGTAACAAATGATCGCGAACGCACTACTAATAGAATTTTTTCTTTAGGCATTTAAAAAAACAAATGTATGTAAAAACTCGAACATATAACACAAAAGGAAAGCACAACGTAAGCACTCGCGAAAATCGTGAATTAAGCTACGGACAACAATACACTATTGCAGTACTAATAAGTATTAAGCCTCTCGTACACTACGATAAAACACGTCAGATTTCATCGTCAAATGAAAACTGGACTAAAATAAAAGTGTCGTCAGGGTTTACCCATACACATCAGTTTTTATGGTTCCTGGCATGGGGGAGGGCTTAAGGGGTTCAAACCCCCTTTTACATCATAAAAAACCTCATTTTACACCACGTTGAAATATCCATCGTTTGAGCAGAACACAATCAAATTCATTTTTTTCAAAATTATTAAAAATTAGTAAATTACCGTTTAAAATTCATCAGTTTTAGATTCAAGCAGCGTGTCTAATGACTATTTTTCATCGACAGTAGCAACCGCAATTATACCTGTAGCACATGTATCGAACTTTGATTTCAAGATTTTCTAAAAAATGCTATTAACACTCTTTAAAAATGTAACATATCCATTTTCCCTTCTACTTTCAGACTTCTACAGATTTATTAACCCTCTCGACTAGCTATGAATATTTTTCAATATAAAAAAGGATAAAACATACAAACAAACGCGAAACACCATGTGTGAAAGTAGTCTAAATGGTTTGGCAATGATGAATATACACAGCAATATAATTTTACACCCAGATGAGATCCTAAGAAAACTTAAGATCAAAACAAGAAAACCATGATTATTGTAATCAGGAACGGCGCTAATGTAGGGTAAGCGGGAAATTTGTTCAGGGCTTCGGGCTTTGAGAATATTATCAAGGCCTTGCTTTTGTCCTCATTAAAGCCACTCAAAATTACAATCATAATACAAAAAACGAACTAAGAAGATCAATAAATTGTATTTTTCTAATGGTATTGGAATTGAATTTCAATGTGTTACATATTATGTTTTCCTGTAAAGTAAAATAATTTTATTAAGGTAGTATAATACATTTTGTAAATTATTATAATTTGTGTTATTCCGTAACCAATAAGAAAAACACACATCGATCAATCGGTCGTCGCCGCCTTCATTGTTTATACAAAATTATTATAGAGTTATTGTATGTATAAATTTTGTTCAAATTTCTTTTTTCACTTGATGAACAAACGATCACAAACTAGCAAATCACTTTTCACTGAAGAACAACCGGCAACAGCAGTCAGGCACTCAGACGTTAGCAACAATTTTTATTATTATTTGAATTTCGTAAGACGTAAGTAGTAGACACAATTTAGAATAGTCTTAGAGTTAGCCTATCGCACACCAAAAGAGCAGAATTGTGTTAGTTAACTAAAAACTAATTGTTTTATACATATCAGCTATTCAAGTGAAAGCAAGAAAATAAAACTATACACATTAGGGTGGTCCTTATATATGAAAGAAAAATGTTTGTCGGGATGCCCCTCAATATTTTTGAGAAACATAAATAAAAAATATTTTTATTTAAATATTATTATTTTATATTTTTTATCATAAAAATAATGTCTATGAACTTTAGCTATGATAAGTAAATTCTACTTGATGCAAGGTGGTTGAAAATTTTCATTTATAGTTTTTTTTTAAATTTATTTTAAAACTATGGTGCTAAAAATAAAAATTGATCCTTTATTGTAGATTATAATAAGACAAAAAAAAAATGATTAAATATTTTCTTGTAAATCTATTATTTTCCAAGAAAAACAATAAAATATACAAATAAATAATAGTGGAAATGTCAGTTGGATTTTGGACTTTGCCTTTATATTAAAAGTTACTTTTTATTAATTAATTAGTATGTAATCACTTCATAATCAGATTATTAATCAAATAATTAATAAGGTTAAATAAACTTCAAAATCAATATAAAAGTATAACCTATAGACTTAAATTGAATCCATTGAGTTATAATAGTAATTATAATTTGAAAAATTATATATTTCGTTTATAAAAGTACCTATACAGTACCTATTAATATTTATAGACCAAAAAATAATTAATATCATTTAATCAGAACTCCACAACAGTTATTTAAATAATTGAGAAAAATGGAGAAATTTCTAGAGACTGCATTTTATCCAAAATTTTAATCCTCACCACTGGCTATTATTTTATCATGCATTAATATAATTTTTTTTTTTTTATGTATTTCCGTTCATGACTTCAACCAAAATAATTGCTTCAATTAGATTTTCGCCAAACATTTTCTTTTCGGCTTTTCGCACGGGTGAATGGCCGCAGGGTTTCTTTCACGCTTTACCGATTCTCACGTGGAATTCTCAGTTGTGGAATCGGTGAACGTTATCGACACGTTGCTCTTCTGCGGCAATTCCGTGGCGATACGTTACTTGTTTGGGCCTAGAATAACAGCCGGTCTTTTTCGTGATTTGTTGATCTTGGCAGTGTACTTTGATATTTTCCATCGACGGTTGATCTCTTCTGGCGTGTGTTTGAAAGTTAAAAAAAAAAATATTGAATTAATAACGACATTTTGACATTTCTTGAATTGGAACATACTTAGGATATAGTTTTCATACGTTGTGATGCTGAAAACACATTCGTTAATGTACTCACGATTATCTTGTTCGTCTGAAATAATCAATTCGGAGTCATTATTTTCATCTTCCACCGCTAAAGACGCGAAACAATTTGCAAAGATATAAGTTTGTTTTATCTATGCTAGCGGATATTTTCAATTTGGTCGATTAAACTTTAAAGCCTTTATGCTTGAAGGCAGATACATTTTTTTCGGCTGACCGTTTCTCAAAAGTTTTCAATATGACTAAATTAAAAACAATAATTTCAAATAGGTATTCAATTTTCACTGTTTCATACATTTGTACAATTTTTAATAAAAATTACCTTTTGGTGAATTTTTCATAGATTTTATTCCCAATATTGGATTCTCCGCTATCTTCTCCTTCGAAACTATTGTACTTCTGCAGATGAGCTTAACACTGATGTCAAATGTTTTTTATCCGCCAAGTACTCTGATGGTATTTTCCATTTTTCTGTCGATGGGTTTCCGTATGTTTTTTATACTTGCTTGAGACGAGCACGCCGTCGACTTTTTACCTGCATTTTTCAATTCTTCATGCCGATTTATTGACTTACCTTGAGGTTTTTCATTGATTTTCTTATCGAACACTTTCTTCGTATTGATTATTTCGTCTGTTCGCTTGGGACACAACTCTTTTAGCTTATCCACTCCGGTGTTTTTGTCGTCGGGTAATCGTAAACGATCAGAAACTTTTGCTATTTTTGACGTTATCTTCCTATAAGTTATTTGTACGGATACAGCTTTTGGAAAATAATCATCCTCGATCTCGTCCTCGAACATAGAATACGTTTCGACGATGCGGAACTCCGTTGTGGTCCACGGGACGCATCTTATGTCAAACGTCTGAGTGAACTTGAACGGCGCATCGTTTCCGGGACGCATTAGTTCACAGACCGATAAAACCTTAAGCTCCGTTGGTTGCGGTCTGATGGCGGTGTCCACCAAGCGAACGGTAACCGAGCATTTATTGTATTCCATTCGCTTTATGAAATATCTGATCAAATATATCCCATACATCTTACGGTCAGGACGTCCGCGTTGTGCGAATACGTATACAAACTGTTCGTTGAACACCTGTCGCAAAACCAATGAATTTGGCTTGCCCATCAAAGCATCAAAATATTTCGTAATGAATCAATTGCCAATCAATTCATTCTCTACACCAACCATCACGTTGGTCTTGCCCAAGTTGCTTATCATCTTCATTTTTAACCAAAAATTTCTATTGAACTCACATTCGATTATGTTTGTACTTTACAAAAAAGTTTTCGGTAAAGATATGCGAAATAATAAACATCTATCTTCAACGAACGCTAATTGTCGAACGATATACCAAAACCAATTTGTTGATGGCCACGGGATTTGTTAAACATACGTTGCCATAGTTATATTGTATAATATGGATATCATAAAACTATACATAAATATAATAAAACCAATTAAAATAATATGTAATAAAGTGCATTATTTACTTTATTGAGTTAGACAAAAGCAAATTAGAAATTGGAACATAAAATGTACATTTAAATATACCAATTTAATAAGAAAAACAGTCAAACTGTACATACCTGAGTGAGTGTGACGTGAATAGTTTTATTGAAGAATAATAGTATTATTAAATTACAGTTAGAGAAGATATTTGCCTACGCATTTGCATTTTTTGCATTTGGTAGGTAGAGAAATTCTGTTGTATTATCGTTTTACACTATTATAGAATATTTTAAATATATTTGACATTTAATGTTAAAGGACTTGTAGCATTTCCATATTTTTTTTTTGCACATTCACAAAAATAACAGAGTGCAAAACAAATACGTTTCATGCTTCCACAAAGATAGTTTTTTACTATGTATATAAATAGATGGGTGCCAGTTAAGATAGCGAAAATAAAACGGCAAAAATAAAAATCACGAAATATTTTTACAGTGAAAACATTAAGAGCGAAAAGTAAGAAATTATTTTCGTTTGTGGATATACCTTTATAATATAATAAATTATAATAAACATTAAAATCAAAATACTATATAATTAAACGATTTCTTCGTTTTTTTTTAAATTAAGGCGTGATTTACATTATTTAAGATGAACAATTAATTTGCATTATGGCATCAAAAAACTTCTCGGGAGGGGGAGACAAATGCCCCTATTGCCCCTTCCTCACAGGTACGCTACTGATATACAACGTAACCCTCATAATTTTTTCATTATTTGTATTATTATAATTTTTTTTTATAACGGTGTGCACCGCACTCGCGACACGTACACACACCACCGTCACCGAGTGTGCCGCGTCACCCACTGACGAAAATAATTTCTTTCTTTTCGTTATTAATGTTTTTGCTGTTAAAATATTTCGCGATTTTGATTTTCGCTAATTTTACTTTCACGATTTTCACATGGATTCTAAATAAATATATTATAATATTATATATCATAGATAATTCAATCAATATTTTTTCGTCGACGTTTTTATTTATTTATCTATACAATAAAAATAACGTTGAATTTAAAATTATTTTAAATTTTGATCATAATATTAATATGGTTGTTGACTTTTCCCAGACGCATGATGTATGACGTATGACGTAAACAGATACAAAAATATGAATTATGATTTATGGATGTAGGTACCTAAATTATATTACATTCTTGTAGGTTATATTAACATTGATTTTATTACAACATAATGAATTACATTATAAATGTAAATAAAAATATAAGATCGGAATTATACATCAATAATGTTTGAAACACAATATAAATGTGAAATCGAAGAAAATTATTGTCCTAGCGAAGTCATGAACATTTTTTTCTCTTATTCTTACTTACTTATTTATCAATATGCATAAGGGCGCAAAATTATTTTGCCCCCTTCTTATATATTAACCTTTAATACGCCACTGTAGTTACCCACCGAGGCAACGGTGTCGGTTCTCCACGCAAGCAACCGTGGCTCGGGGTCTGACGTGCATACGTAATCATCCGACCATGTCGTATCTCACGTTGGACCCGGCTATACATGAAAATGGAAATCGGAATCACTGTTCACACAACCTCGATCGGGTAGTTGCAGTTTTATTTTGGTCGGTTGATCGGTCGTTAATTGTTATAGACATTTTGATGGTTAACAATATACATATTTTATGCTTGTATTTTACTCTTATCTTTTCTTTCTCGGTGAGTGCCAAACAATAGTATTATATGTATTTATAAAGTTTATTTAATATTTTTATCTATTTAATATTTTATATCCGGCACTTGTTGATATGTGGTCGCCCCGACCGAATTTTGAATCCAGCGCCTCACTCATACAATTTTACTTGTAATTTGCATTATTGTGTCGATCAGCAATATAAGAAAATAAATAATTAATTAAAAATATATCCTTATACGATACATATAATAATTATTAATAATACAATAAAAAATTCAGAAAGATTTAAAATTCAATACTTAGTATTACAAAATATAATTTTTATTAATGAAAAACTGACGAAAAATTGTAAAATAAAATTGCACCACTTATGTTATGCTAGTTATTAGCCCCTTGTAAAAATGAAAACGGTTTATGAATTATATTATGTATAATCGAGATAAACATTAAATCTAGTATCTATTCGATTAAAATAAGTTTGAAAATAAAAATATTGAAATCATTAAAATACAAATTAAATGTGGTTGAAAAAAATATATTTTAGGATTACAAAATTTTTAAATGCTTGGTCAAATAAAAAATTACATTAGTCTTTTATGTGACTTGTACCATTTCATGGTACTAGTTTTCTTTCCATGGGTATAAATCAAGTTTATATGATCTACAGCTGCGTTTTATATTCGACATCCACCTAAAAAGATTCAATGTAATTTAACATCATAATTTTTAAATATATTAGTTATACTTACTTATGGTCAACGTATCTAAAAGTTTCCTTTTGAATATGATCTAAATTAGACGACAAGCATAAAACGTGGCTGAGAGTGATCTTTTCGAGTGATTTAATTTGTTCTACGAAGGAAGAAAAATATTGAAATGGATTATCATAATAACTAGTCAATTTATCGATTGCGTTCGTAATTCTGTTTACCTGGGGTGAAACTTCCTGGTTGTCCTAGAATATTGTAAAAGAAACGATCGCCTGATTTAAACCTATAGAAACTGTCTCCAATGATACACGCTGTCGACGGACCAACCATTGATCCGTTTCTGGGCTTTTCTAAAAGAGCACCGATGAGATAGTCAATGTCGTGCACTGTGGAGTATAGCGTCTTTAATGTTGCGATGTCCTATGACGAAACAAATATTACTTACAGTACATTTCACACGAAAATAGAAAACGTGTATTATTGTTTATAAAAAATATATTTCCAAAATTTAACATATTTGAGATTTTTAATTTTAACCAAACAGCGGTTTATTTTCATGCGGTTAATTTAAAAAATCAATCTGCAAATAAAAATATTACTCTCGAGTTATTCCAAGCAGATAAAAAAATAATGCAACTTTTTCGTACCTCTAATGAAATTAAATCAGATAGATCATCGAATACAATCGCTTTTTTCAATCCGCAAATTTGTCTAATTTTATTGTACGGCGGAAGGCCATTGTCTCGTCCTCTTTGAATATCGTACGACATTAAATCAAAACCAGAATATCCGTCCAGATTTGGTATTTTGAACACAACGTTTGTTATCTAAGAATATATGGATTAATTTAAACGTGATAGTTTATAATTCGTATAGCAGTAGTAAGAATAGTTACCAAGTTATTATAAGATGGTTGTGGAGCTCGACCAGGCGTTTCCAAAAACCCTCGTAACATGTGGTCAAAGTTTCCTATAAGTAAATCTGGCTTGAGTAACACTCTAGAAGGTTCTACTTCATCAACGATTGAATAATTTGTGGCCATAAAACTAGAAACCAAGAGGAAAAAATTTAAAAAGAAAATAAATATAATTTTATTTTGTAGTCATTGCATAATTTTTTTAAACAAGTTTTCAACTAACTTAAATTTAGCAGGAATTATGTTGTGGACAGCTCGGAAAGCACCACTGGTCATCTCTTGTGCTAAAGCTGAATTTATCGAAGGATCATAGGTAGTCGGACCAGTCAATCCATATTCTTTCATGTAATCGTCACCTGGAATAAATAATAAAATTAATTTACCTGTTTGTTTCATATCCACTTTTAAATATATGTTTAAGCAAATAAAACATTTAAGTTTAAGTATAACATCCATATAAATATTTATTTGGTGAAAGGAAATCATAGCCCTAGTATTGTTAATGATATATTGCATGTGAATTTATATTTTAGTAAAATATGAGATAAATTATTAATATTTTCAAACAAATATTTAAATTTTTAGAATTTTAGTTAAATTTATTCGAATTATTTAATATTATTTCAGATTATGTTCGTATTAAGACATTAAACTATCTATATTATACTATTGATATTATATTTTTTCAAAGAATATAATTTAATTTGAATTGTATTAGTATAATACATTCATAAGTAAATAATGAAATATATTAATTTTCCTACCCAGAATTATCGGTAAGAATTGATTATAAGTGATAACTTGGATAATTGCTCCCATGATTCTACGAATTTCTTGGTACACTCTCTCATCTGACCAAGACGGGTTGACCTTTTGCATTTCATCGGCAAGATGGTTGTGATATCTTAAGAACAAATTTTGAAACAATGCGATGGCCAAATTTTGATTGACGTTAACATCACCTACACAAAGAATATTTTATATTTTCAATTTATATGATTTCACATTCGATTTACCAGCGGCAAATTGAACTTTAGATGGTCCTAATGGTCCATTTTTAAATTCCGAATTCGGATTTTGAGGGCAATATTCTTCATTCTTCAAAATCTGCGATTTAAGTCTTCCATTTTTAAATGTTCGAAGATTATCCGCTGTCTTTTTGTCGGACCCATATACATGTGACGCGTCTATGTATTGAGTGTTTCTATTTAACTACAAATAAATTTAATTAATTTAATGAATACCAAATAATTTTTTAGACGTTTTAACAAATTCATGGTAACTCATTTTTACTATTTCGGTGATTCGGCAAAGAACATTTTTTTATTTTATTTATTTTTATTGAATTAACGGCTGTATAAAATATATAAAACAATAAGTATAACATATGAGTAAGTTGGACATGTAACATAATAAATTTATGTAATGTACAATATAATAATTAACAATTTAAAAAATATATATAAATAATAAAAAAAAAAAAAAAAAACAATCAATAATCAGAGTAGAGATACTGATTAAGATCTGATAGACTATTAAAGGAAAAATCCAATTTTGATGAATTACCTTCGGCTAAGAGCCGATTTAAAGGATTATACTGACCAATGTTTGTGCAGTGGGTTTTATCATGGAATATTGAACATAATAATACTAAAAGTACGTGGAAGGAGATAAGTTATAACAGTGAAGGTAAGAACACTGCACCATTTAAACATTATATGAACCAAATTTAATAAAAAATTATAGTATATTCTTTACAGTAAAATTTGAATAGTTATATGATCAAACTAGTTTGCAGTTTTTTACGTTTCATCCATAAATTATTTTGTATTCGAAAACGAAACCACAAGTTCATTATTTATGTTACAGGATATGTTTATTTTTTTACTTTCATGATTTTATTAGAAACTGTTGTTTATCATTATTGCTTGACTATCATATTATTAACAATTATTGATTGAACTTATTTTAAGTTCATTTAAATTGAATTGATTCACTTCTCTAAAGTGGTACAACATGTTTTAAATATTTTTAAATTAAACATCTAATATATATTAAGCTTTCCTAAAAAATGTTTTCGGAAAAATAACTTATAATGTAGAGTTAACATATCTCTATTCAAATATACATTTTGTAACTTACAATAGTTCTAGGTGTTAACGGACAGCTAAAATTCACAGAAGTCGCCGACCGAACAAATTTGAACAGTGATACATTATATGGGCCATATACTGGATCATCTTTTGGTATTAATATAGCAGCCTTACATTCGGAGGGAATTTTGGATTTATCTTTTTCGAAACAATGATCCAAATGAGCTTAATTTACAAACATACAATTTAAGTTGGTAAGCAATAAGATTGTGTAAAACTAGTAGAAGTTTACATTATACAATTTATTTTTCAAATCGGCAGTTTTGTGCTGAGATATTAAAAATTAATATTAAATATAGAATATTTAAATTATTTAAAATTATCTCATTAAATAATAATAATTAGTATGATTTGAAATTAAAACAAAAACGTAAACATTTTTCATTATCATATGACTAGATAATATAATATCACCTTGTAAATCAAAAAAATGGAATATACTTTCATTTAATTCATTGATTAAATAGATTATGGATTATATAACACATTTTTATTAATTTTTAGAATATTTGTTTCGGTAAATCAACTATGATTAATAACTTATGAACATTGATATCTCAACTCAACAACTTACGGCCTATAATCTATTTATATTCTTTCCTAAAATTTTTTATAACGGATTTTTTTCACAAACCACATCACAATGTGGAAAAATAATTATTTCATTCGATTTTTTTTCATAAAAAATATCCAAGTCATAAATAATACCTCAAGATATAAATAAATAATTATTAGATACTTTAGACCTCACCTTATCTTGCCATGTTGATACACAACAATTTTCGAAATTGATTATTTTTTCGTATATTACAAAAACCATTTACATAACTACATTTAGGTATAATATGTTAATTCAAAAGTCAGTCATTAAAACTCTCGAACTAGAGAAAACATTCAAATATAGTTTTCTTTTATGTAATATTTAACCTATCTTTACAATGGTTTTCAACAAAAATATCACTACAAATATAAAAATTATTTTTTTTTTCAAATTTTCCAGACAGCCATTTTATATGGTTGCCTAATGATTATATTAAAAATAAAAATATTCAATGATTGAAAGTAGTTCTTAGTATACAGAGAACAAAAAATTTTAAATGTGAAAAAAAATAAAAAAGACTGAATTTTCAATTAACTAACATATTGTATGTAATTAATACATTTCATTGAAATTACCAAATGGAATTAATTTATTAATTGTAATTGATTTTGCGTGTACCTGGTGTAGTTGCATTTCTAATATCATCTGGATAATAAGAGATGTCGTGTGTCAAGAACTGTCCCCATGGGACCAACAACTCATTGTTATTGTGATCTGAGTACCGGACGTCTCTCATGTAAAACAATTTCAGGCCCACCAGCCGAGCACTAGGCAATGGTTTTCCGTCTAGTTGAACTCGTAGCGTATAATTACCTGAATAAATTACATATATGTAGCAGATATAAAAACTCCATTATTGCATAACTCAGTGGCGCTGAACTAACATTTCCATTCTACGGCAAGTTTCGATTTAATCAAATACACCCAATCCATCCCTGTTATACCGATTGAGGAGCGTTCGCTCAGTAGTCATTAATTCGATAGAGTAATTTTATACAACCTTGTACCGATTTTTATGGTATACAAGTACTTATAATGCGACCATACAGAACCAACCGAGACTGATATGAACACCTACCATTCACCACCCACCAGCTACAAAATTAGGTCTGGCTATTGGTAGACCTCAACCTTGTACTCGGGTACCATTGGACTAAGACCGATGTGGAACCGAATACGTACACGGTAGAACGTAAGATTGTACTCCAGTAACACCAGTGGATAAATTGAAAAATTATTTATATATATGTTTTTACTTGTTTCGCTAATTGTTCACGAGCTATATTATGTTGAGGTGTATTTCAAACGAATTATTTATATCAAACTTTGAAAGTGAAACTGATGTCTACTCGAGTCCAGTCTGTTGAAGTTACGATGAGTATTTAAACACTCTTTTATCCGGTAACTACAGTTGAACATAAATGTTTATCGTACCATATGGATGTTAAAAAACTATCTGATATGTCTCCGAATTTTTAAAATATCTATATTAATTAAATAATCGGTTTGATTTCCCGTTTGTAATAATTTGTTGGGCGACATCATCGGCGACCACGTACGATCTCGTGGTACGAGATTATCCGTAGACGATTTTTTATTTTTTTTTTTTTCGATAATAATATATTACCATCACTGAACTCAGCGTCCGCCAATCTGTAGAACGGTGTTAAAGCCGCGCCCCAGCTCGGGTTTTGTAAATTGTTGCACGACCCGTTGTACGATCTGTATTTGTCACCCGCATTACAAACGACAATGGGAGCACATTTTTTGAAATAGTCCCCGTTGGTCGTTGCAACACTCGTCAGTCTGATTTGCTGCTGTTTGGTGCCGATACTTACCGGACTTAACTTTGATCCCGACGCAACATTATTATACGTGTCTCGATCGGGACTGCCAGCGTTCGGAGGATTGTCCTTCGGTTGTAACGACGAGATCACAATAATTACAGCTGTAGCGACAATGATCACCAGTACCAATGTCGACAAAATGAACCACGTTTTCTTACAAAACGGTTGAACAATTTTTTTATTGTTGAGCAACGGTCTGAAACAAAATAATTTTTTTTCTTGTGTTTTTTAACCACTATCGTTGTTTTTTGTTCAAATCGACTAAACAAATGCTATTAATTATTTATTCTTACTCGAAAACATCAAATAAAAGTTTAAATGTTTAATATTTCGATGTATTCAATAAATACATTATTTTATTAAATTTATGTACGTGTATATAAGTTGCAAACGGCTAAACAAAAATATATTTTATGATAACATTTTATAAACATTTTTCAAAATATGAAAATGTTTTTCAAAAGGATTTAAGAAAGCATTCAAGAAGATCATCCGTAAACATTCCGTGTGTACAATTATTGTGTATTACTAGTTTTACGTGGACATAAAAATAATTGATACTTACTCTGTTTCGGATTTTGAAGAGTTATCAACTTTTTTGAAAATTTTAACCATCTTAAAACCAAGTGATGGCAACGAAATGTCAACAGTATTACATTTATAAGAAAACAATAATAATTTACCACTATATAAAAATATATGAATATATAATGAACGTTAGAGCGCTGTTCTTTACGCGATTCTTTCCTTTAATTCGTGTACTTATGTTTTCCGATATAAATATTACGTTAGTAACTAATTAGATTAAATCGATAAACTCGTCGGTAGATCAGTTTATTTTACATAAAATCGGGGTAAAAGTGTTGTGGAAGTAGTAGTGTTTTATCAATATTGTTCAATGTTCAATCTAAACGTTTAGCAAGCAATGACTTCTTCGATACGAATTAAATAGTTTTACTGATTGATAAAAAGTAACGAGTATTTTCTTACATAATTCGATTCAATTTTTTACAAAGTCAATTTCTGATTCAAAGGTGATCGAAAAATTTCACGTGGTTTCCTTTTACAATATACCTTTATCTAGTACATAAGAGCGTCCTATTTTTTGTTTTTAGCTGAAATTTGCTGCAGGTATAATAATATCAGCTAAATTATTTGAGAATTTCAATGAAATATTTATCTAAGCTAATAACTATACATGACCTTTAGCCGGTAACTTTATAATTTTGCAGTCCTATGGTTTTCAATTCGTTTCATCAACGTTTCTTTATATTTTTATGTTCCTTCTGAGTTTACAATATTTCCCATTATTATCTAAAAGTTCACAGTTCATAACATTATTTTTGTATTACACACTATGATCCGAGATAAAAATTAATGAAAATCCAATAAACCGTAAAACTAATTCTGGAACATTTGTCAATGAAGTAATTTGAGCTTTACTTGATGAGCTACGAAAAAATAAATAAAAAAATCATTTTATGGTCTAATTTATAGTGGCTGATTATACAAAAAAAAAATGTCTCTCTTGCACACAAATATAAATACATGAATGTTATTATGGGGTTATTTCAAGGAGTGAGATTTAAAAAAAAATAATAAAACGATCAATGATGTTAATTATAGTGATCACTGATGAAATTAACAAAATATAATTTTATTTATTCTTAATATACCATTGTAATTAAATATTATTCGTGTATATTTGGGCAATCCTCAATATAAGTTTTGAAAGTCAAATTTTATTTTGGAAATCAACGCAGATTTACCTAATAATATTTCCCCCTCTTTCACCCGTCTTTTGTAAACTACTTACGTATAACTATAATATTATTGATAGTCTTATCATAGTATTCATAGTATAATTAAATATAATATCAGTATTCGAAGTCTAAGATAACTGCAGTTAGTGCTGGACATATTATTTTGAATCGACGTCGGCAAAATGTATACGATTACCTCTTTTTTTATTTTGACGTTAGTTTTGAAGTTATTAATTATCAATTTCGACAGCGTAGTAAGTGTATTATTGTTCAAACAATAAAAAAATTAAAAAAATTAAAAAAAAAAATGTTACTCTTAATACCTGCACGGATTTCCAGTGTGGTGTCCAGAAATTTTACATAGACTATGAAAAAAACGAATTCATCAAAGACGATAAAGTATTTAGATACGCTTCGGGGTCACTTCATTATTTCCGAGTGCCAAGACCATATTGGCGAGACCGGATACGTAAGATGAAAGCTGCGGGCTTAAACGCCGTATCATCGTGAGTAACATATATTGATTATAAACATTTATTTACCAATCTTCCATTACACTTGTTGTACATTCATTACATATGCAACATTAATTTGATGGCATTCCAAAAAAAATTAATTCCAAACAGGGTGATTACATGTACAATTTGTATAAGTAATCGAATTAACAGAACAATTTTAACTGAGTAGAAACTAAAAGGCAACATAAGCACAACTCGGGGACTTAGCTCCCCAGACCAAAATTTATCCTCCCCATAAATATTACATATCATACATGGCATACTGTATACAGCATATAATGTCACAATAGTGTCACATACAAAAAAAGACATATTGCAGTAAATCCAATTTGGCTAAGAATCTAAAATATATTAACATGGTATATAAGAGTAGGAGTAATATACAGGTTATTTTAAGTTTTGGTTGGAGGGCTGTAGTCCCCTCCCCTAGATTTTTTACCCTTGTTGCGCCTATGAAAGGCAACCTAATGTAAAAAGATCAATCTTGTATATATTTACACGTTTTTATCATCGTGAGATCTTTATTGATATCGCCCTATACTTCTATTCAAATCGCCAAAAGTAATTTTCTTAAAACCGTCTTTTGAAAACATATTTATTTTTTAAATTTGTAAGAGTAACACCAAGGTAGTCTTCTCAAACGAATAAATATGTTGCATATTGTTATTTTTGGATTTCAATTCAAATATAAATTGCTCAAAATTATACAGATTAAATTTTTTTATTTCTCAAAAAAAAAAAAAACATACTTAAAATTGTACAAATTATATTTTTTTTAATTTTTAATTAAAATGAAATTTGCATGAAAAATGTTTTTACACAAAATAAAGCTTAAGTATAATGACAATCATAATTGAAAATTACATCACAGTCAAAGGTCTACAAATCTGATTTGGTAATATTTAGACTAAAACCGATTGAAAAAGCAATAGTTAAAACATGTAAGTAGTAGAGGTTTTGAAATTTATAAAATGTATTATACAAATATTAACTCGTATTTACGAATTATGATTGAGTGAAATATGGAATAACATTATGTTTTAGAAAGTTAGGAAGTGATACAATAAATAATTAATAAACGCAGAATATATTTTTATATAATTTTACTCTGCTCGTAAATTTATTTAATTTCATTCAAAGATGAAAAACATATAAATAAGTATAACATATAAAAACATCTAAGTTACTTCAATCGTAATTTTTTAATTTTAACTGTACAACAACCGGCGTTTTTCATGATGACGCAAGCAAAATAATATTATAATATCCGGTACATACCTAAAAACAAACTTCTTATAGAAAATGTATACATAAAAAGATGATTTATTAAAGAAAATAAATATGACAAAACCAAAATATATGGTAGGTATAAATAAAAACAAAATATTTAGACATTTTTCAAAAAAAAATATTCCTTGTTTACAAAATATATAATTATTAAATGCCCAAATTAAAAAAATTAAAATGATGGGTCAAAAACAAATACATATGAACCCAATCTAACCTCCGAAATTACGGCCGTATTAACCCTTTTCCGCATGATGGTTAGTGCTGTTGACCACCCAATATTTAGTTATAATGAATTTTCTAAAAATATATCAATCGAATGATTTTTGCACCTAAAGTATCGTTTTCATTTGCCGTCCAGTGTAGTAAAAGTAATCTATAGAAGATATGGCTAACAGGTAAATGGCGACATTAGTTAGAGTCGATCGCGACTTTTCATTTTTTTTTTTTTTCATTTTTCAGAAAAATAATATGTTTATTTAATTTTATATAAATTTTTGTATCTTTGTTCAATCCATGAATATACAAATTACATTAATAACAATTAATAAAGGCAATATATAGTTATAAGCAGGGTCAGGATTTTATAGCATTTGCATTTTTTTTATGAGATGCTTAAAAAATAGCAGAGTAAGCTATAAATGTGTTTAATGATACAGAGAACACAAATAATAAATTTTATTTTGCTTTTTTTGCATATTTTGCGTTTTTTAGTTTATAGTGTTTTTTTTGGATTTTTTGAGACTTTTTTGCCTTTTACCTGTGTTTTAATCAAAATCGGACATATTTTATGAAATTTTATTTTGGTAAACGTGTTTTTTGATTTTTGTTAATCGAATTTTCAAAATTCAAAATTTTAATTTTAATTTTAAATAAAATTATAAATGTATAGATTAAGTAAATAGACCGATTACGCTGATGCAACTCTGTACAATTACAGCGATAATATATAGATAGATATAGTATAATACAATAATTTCATTTTAGTTATTTGGTTCTAATTTTTTTTATCGGCTGATTTTGTTGGTTTTTTTTGTCGATTTCTATTAAATCTATTAATAGCCGATTATCAACGAACGAGTGTAGAATTCGCTTTATACAGTCCACATTCATCTCGTGTGCTCGTATAAAATTATTAAATAATAAATTTCCTTTTTTTTTTGTTGTTTTTATTGCATATTTTTAGAGCTTATTTAGCGATTTTTAAGGTAATATTATAGCGCATATTTATGCAATTTTAAGTGCTATAAAATCCCAACTCTGGTTATAAGTAACTGTGAAAAACGAATTCTATACACTGAGATCGAGTAGCTATGTAGTGTCATATACGTCAAACCAAATCATACGTATAGATACGTGCAAACACAATTAAGGTAACACTAGAGGTAATTGATATGTTTCTTAAAGTGGCCGAGTCCACGATTACCACAGAAAACCCTTTATTTATAAGTCTTCTCCCTTTTATAAATTCGTTCAACCTGGCTAAACATAATTATTGTTTACATGCTAGTTAACAGTATTGATTATTTTACAATTGTTTTCTTGTATTCTAAAATGTTATACTGAACTAACCTATTGTAACATGAATATACAGTACTTTTTGATGTATCTTATGTTTCCTGTGACCAGCATTTTATTGTTACTATGTTGATATTATTTAATGCTATAGTTCTCATTATTAAAAAAAATAAAAATAAAGTATGTCCTCATATTTTATTTGGTTTTTTTAAAATTTGTTATCTTATGTGATTTTGTTAAGGTAAAATTGAATGGTTTTTGTCTGAGTAGATGTATGTTAGCATCAGGTTACATGTGGAGTGATTTCTTGAATCATAGTATGTTTATGTTACTGTTCTGATTTTAATATTTGTTATGTTATTCATGCGTTTAACCTCTTCTATGAGTTGGTTTATTTTTAACAATAATAATTATTATTCAGTGTGTTTTTCGTTATTTTTTTTTTATTTCGTCCATTTCTTTATTTTTTAATTTACTTACTTGTAAATTCAATAAGTCTATGTATTCGTTAGTTATTAGGCCTCTGTTGTTAATTCTGTATTGCATTTGTTCATATTTTTTTTATATTCTTTTTTAATTTTTTAAAAGTCTTGTAATCCTACATTGAAATTTTATCTAAAATATTGATTATATTTTTACATTTATGATCATTTTCAACATTAAGATTTGTCATGAATTATTTAATTACTACGATTTCCAAAAAAAAAAACTCAATAATATTTCAATTTTAAATATTGAAAGAGAGCACATTGAACAATTTAACATTGACCAAATATATAAAAATGTTGCAAACCAAAAAGCAAGAAAAATATGTTGTAGGCATATTAACAGCCAGTCTAACCCACCACATAAGATGTTTTGCATTAAAAACAATAGAAGGTAGTGTCAGGGCACCCTCCCTAGCCATAAAAATATTCAAGTACATAGTTTCAATAGCGTATAATACAAGGGCGTATTTGAGGGAGGGCGAAGGGGGCATTCGCCTCCCCCCCATGGCTCGTATTTTTTTAAATATAATACATTGATTTATTTAAAAAAATATAATGTATAAATAATTAAGAATATAAATTACTAGTCTATCATTATAATATGTTATCATTATAATAGAAACATGAGCTGTAGGTTATTAACTGTAAATTATTTTTAAATTTGTATTGAAGAAAAATTAGTTTCACCCCCTCCCCCCTCATGACCACAACTCAAATACGCCCTTGGTATAACATATAGCGTTTCAATACGATCGAATAAAAAAAAGCTTTAAGATTAGAGTAAACCTTATTATTAAGCCTTTATTTATAAATAAAACATTTCTTTATTTGTTGAATAAACAAAATATTGGCATATTCTTGCCATTGTATACGGATAGACATATATTATTCTAATAATGACGATACATACGGATTAGGCCATGAGATAACTGTGTATTTAAAAATAAAAATACATAAATTAACTATACTTAAAGTTATATTATAATACATACAAAATTATAAATTAGTACATCACCATTATTAACTGTATGCTAAACATAATTTTATTTATGTTGCTTTACAAACTTTCATAAAATATCTAATACATGTACATATAAGACCTTAAACAGTCTTATACTATATAAATAATAAATATTTGTCGTGACATTATTTGATCGTTTTGTAATAATTATTCACCACGCACTTAAGTCAATTTTGTACATTGTGCAGTTGGGCTTGAGTTTCATCAATCGTCTAAAAATATGTAATCACGTTTAATTAATTTACAAATAAAAATTTAAAAATTGCGTATTTACTTACATATGATCGATTAAGCTAAATGTATCCATTTGAACGTGATCTACATTCGATGTTGCACAAATGATATGACTAAGCGATATTTTTTTCAACGAACATAACTGATCTGAATATCAAAATATTTAAAATTAGCAATTATTAGTTATTTTTCTAAACAAAATTAACTGATCTGAATTTTATAGTATTCAAAATTAATGATAAATTATAATGATATTAGTAAACGGAATTGATACTTAAAATGACTTGTTGTTCTGATATTATAACGAAATAAAATGCCAAAAAATGCTAAAAAATTATCAAGAGTAAAAATAAGAACTTGATAATTCCTAACTATAACAATTATATTATTAAAGCCTGAATAATTCTTATAATGATTCAAAAAGAAAATTTACGGAAATTGAATTATTTTCTTTTTTAATTGTTTGCTAGTAAATAAAAAATAAAAAATAAAATTTACATCAAATTTCTTCAAATTCTCTTCATTATGGTAATTTTATTTTATTTTACAGACCTGAAGTAAAACTTCCGGGTTGTCCTTGAACATCATAAAAAAACCTGTCACCATTTCTTATTCGACGAAAACTATCAGCGATTATACAACTACCCGTTGGACCGACCATAGAACCGTTTATTCTATTTTCTAATAACATTCCAACAAGAGTATCGATATCATGAACTGATTTATAAAATGATTTTAACTGTTCAATTTTCTAGAGAAAAAATAAATGTAATTAAAATAAAGCATATTAGTAATATTAATCATTTACAATAATTAAATTCGATTAACATTATTAACTACTTATATATGATATACTTACTTCCAATGGTATATAATCAGATAAATCGTCGAATGATTTTACTTTTGGTAATCCACAGAGTGTTCTTATTTTAGTGTATGGTGGGAGACCAACATCCCGACCGCGTTGTACATCGTAAGATTGCAAGTCAAATCCAGTAGTATTAACTAATGCAGACTTAATAACAATATTTGATATCTTTAAACAAAAATAAATTAAATTACAATCAGAATTTTCTTTTAAAATTGATTAAGTTATTACAAGGTGATTGTATTCTGGTCTGGTTTTACGTCCAGGAGTTTCAATTAATCCTCTGACGAACCCATCAACATTATTAATCAGAGTATCTGGTCTCAAAAAAGACTCTGATGGTTTTTCAACCTCATATGTGGTGTAATTTTTAGACATATAACTGTAAAAAATGAAATATAACAAATATTATATAGATCCTAAAAAGTTGAATTTTATAAAAACCTGAAAGTGAAAATATAATACATTAACTTATTAATTTATTAATATTTTAAATCATCTAAAATATCTGAAAATCTTAATTCTAGTTAAAACTTTTACCATTCATGTAGGTATGTAATCGACACAATATATTTTTTAATTCTTTAATTATACAGAATCATAGATAATTTTTATTAAAACGTACATATTATATTGACATTGTCAAATTTTTTAAGTTATAATCTTGCTGTAATCCTTCAAAAATAAAAGGTAAAAGAACGCACAGGGTATAAAATAAAGATCAGTATTAAGACAAGCAATAAAATAACTAAATAGCTTTACCTATCAATTCGTCAATTGATAATTATGAAAAAAAAAACAGAATCTAAAACTAAAATATTGCCAATGAACGTTTATAGGACCTTGATAGCTACGCCATACTTTAATAATGTATTATTTTATCATATATTACTATAATAAGTAAAATAAAATATTGTAACACTAAATTTCATAAATATTTCGTCAATGTATCATATTTAATACGCACTTAAATTGGGCAGGAATCATGCTGTGAAGCAATCGAAAAGCACCACTAGTCATCTCTTGTGCCATAGCGACGGTAATCGATGGATCATAATTTGTTTCTCTGTTCAACCCGTATTCTTTCATATATTGTTCACCTAAAATAAATGCGAACATTAACCATGAACCGTCGACAATTAGTCATGATATTTTTGTAGGAGCTCACCTAAAATAATTGGCAAATATTGCTCGTAGGTAATTATCTGAACGACAGCGGCGACGATTCTACGAGTTTCTTGATATACCATCTCATCTGTCCATGTAGGATGATCTTTTTGTAACTTGTCGGCAATATAATTGTGAAACCTCAAGAATAGATTTTGAAACAACGCGATTCCTAGATTCTGATTGACATTGACGTCTCCTAAATTAATACAGTTTATGAATGTTTTGTACATAGTATATAACATGGATGGCTAATAAAAATTTTTTTGGGCGTTTAGTGTATGCAATGCAATAACCACGGATGCACTACTTTATTAATATAATCGAGACACTAAAAGTGACTAAAACGTTAATAAGATAATTTCCTAGTTCCACTAAATTGATAAAATCGATTAAATTAAAATTCATAAGTTTTTTTAAGTAAATGTCTAACCTTGATTATATAATTTTATGACTGAAATTAAAATGTTATTTTCGATTTTGGAAGAAAAATACAAATTATTAATTTAGTAGCAACAAATATAAAACAACATAAAACTACTGTTTATAAATTGTCAGTTACCTGCAAAAAATGATATCGGTTCTTCGGTCTTATTTCCAACTTTAATGATTGCACTTGGATTTTGAGGGCAATACGATTCTTTTCCTATACGTTGATCAAGCAATTTTCCTCCTTTAAAGAGACGTAACTTTGTTGCCGTTTCAGAATCAGAACCATATACATTCGAGGCATCGATAAAATGCGTATTTTGATTGAGCTGTAAAAGTAACACGCAAGAAAAGTATAAATAAGTCATAAATGATAGTATTTAATTTATTAATCGATAAAAAACACTCACGACAGTAGAAGGAATTAAAGGACAACTATAGTTGGCCGAAGTGACGAGGCGCATAAATTTCAAAATGGTTAAGTTGTATTTTCCGTAAACCGGGTCATCTGGAAATAATCTGATAACCGCTTCACATTCAACCGGTTGATTCTTGTCTTGACAATGATTTAGAGCATCTGAACGGTATGCAAAATGGTTAGTAAACTATATATTATTTTCGTATTAGCTGCATTAAAGGCAAATGTTATTTTTTCAGTGAAAAAAACTCTTATTTTAATATTATTAATTATTTAATTAATTATTGGTATTAATTTTAATACTATTGGTAAGAATTCTGAACAGGGCTTAAAATCATTCCTAATAAAGTTGATAATCGGCTCCGATAGGAGCCGAAAATTTTTTAAAACCGGTAACCGGTTATCGTTTAATTTTTAATATTTAGGTAACCGGTAACCGTTTCTCTAAGTATATTTCAAAAACTATGATAACCGTTAATCGTTTAAAAGCCGATGATAAGATTTTGGTAATTGGTTACCGGTTAAAACCGGTTTTTAAAAATCGTATTTTTGAATTTTTTAATCATATTTTTAAAACAGTTTATTTAGGCAATTTATGGGTGGATAATATAACATTAATTATTACAAAATCAAAAACTTAACATGCTTTAATTTGGTCGATTTCACTCAATTGCAATATTTATTTTTTCAAACTGCTTTAAAGTTTAAAACATATTATGATCAAGATAATGATAATCAACAAACTAAATTGAATAAAACAATTTTATTGTTATAATTTTCTTATATATAATGGTAAAAACCGAAATTAAATATAATAATTTTCTAAGATGATACTAAAATTGATACATTGCCACTGAACTTTTTGGTTAAATTGTATATAATACAGTACCTCAAAACCTGGATGAGCAGATATTATGATGATGACAGTATTAAAATATCTTAAATACTAAATGAACTAAGCCTCTATTCCATCAACTATTTCGTAATAGAAATCAGCGCGTTACGACGACGACGTTTATGACAGTATTTATAAATGTATAGTTATACGTATATATATATATATATATTAATGACCGTCGAGTATTTTTTATCTGTTGTGAATATCATATATATAATTATATACATATAAGCAATACTCGACGGTCATGAATTGAGGAAAAATATTTAAAAATAGGTGGAAAATTAAATTCAACTATAATAGTATTATGTAATCATGACATAATTCAAGTATTAATGCCACAAAAAAATCGTTAGTTATTTTGGTCGGGAATAAGTTTTGGTTATAAAACCGGAATTAATAACACCTAAACACATTACCCTCTTTCTTCCGCAGTCGGGTAAAAATACGAGGTAATCGCTTTGATGTTAATATTTAGATATTTACCTTGATTATCGATAACCAATAAAAGCTTCCACCATTCCAAAACTAAAAGCAGTTATCGGTTCTCAAATTTACGGTTTTTTACCGGTTTTCGTTACAAAGCGGTTACCGGTTTTAAACCTTGATTCTGAACATATTTTTATCAGGATTGATGATAAACTTTACTATGGAACTGTTTTTTTTTTACTTTTTTTAAATATCTACTGTAATTTTAATACTTCTACATTACTTAACGATTAAAACAATTTCAATTTAATATTCCCGGGTAAAAGTATACTGAAAACTATATTATAACTATTGTAAGTCGATCTGTTATAAACTTCATTACGAATTTTAATAATATGCTATACAATTATCTATCATACCTTTAAATCAACCATTATATTATCAGAACTCAAATGACAGTATTGTTGCGAAAAAATTATTATTTTTATTTTTCACAATTAAAGTCAATTATTTTAATAAATTCACAATATAATAAATATTATAATTTTAATTTACTGGTGTATTATCTACACAATCAATGACGTTATTAAAACATAAATATTCTTACCCGGGAAAGATGAATTCACACTGTTAACCGCTGAATAAGCCATATCATGTGTTATGAATTGACCCCATGGCACTAAGAGTTCGTTGTATTTCCAGTCATAAGCAATCGTGTTATTCTGGAACAGTTTTATAGTAAGATGACGAGCGTTTGGTAAATTACTTCCATCGGATTGCAACCGGAACTTTGAAATTCCTTAAATATATATTTTTAATGCATATTATAACTGATATAATAACCATATTATTATTCTAAAATTTTTTATTTTAAATTCTAGTTCAGAGATTTACAATATAAATATTTTTACAAAAAGATTATTACTAGATGTTACTCTACACTGAGGTGGAACTACGTATCGTAGATGAAGTACATTTGACTATAGATGCACTTTCACATACATGCTGTTATCATTAATTGTATCATGGACAACCAAACATGTATAAATGTTAATACATTGGAATGATTACGGGGAAAAAATGTTAATAGTTAATATTCCTATACTGTTGAGTATAAAAGTTTTAAAGTTTCAGAACCCGAAAAATGAAGGGATAAATTACAAACTAATTTTAAAAAATTGATTATTGTAATACAAAAAATTTTCTATAAAATTAATAAAAAAAAATTTAATTTAATTTTTAAAACAAATGACAATATGTTATAATTGTCAGACTATTTTCTTTTTTTTACTATTATCGTTTTTCCTCGTAGCCCTTCATATCATATTATTTTTATGTGTGTTGTCAGTCACGGCACCGAAGCGTTTAAAATAATATATTTTACTATGACAAAGTACATTAAGTCATTTTTAATTGCATTTCACCTATTTATTGAAGAAATATAAACTTTAAGGCAGCCATCTGAAATGTTGGTAGATAACAACAACAAAAATTATTTATGTTTAAATTTACAATAACATATGATAGATAAATTAATTTATAGATTTGAATATGGAATAAAACTGTTTATTAAAATGTTCCTATTTATCTGTGATAATATTACATTAAATCGCAGTAAGTTAGAAATATTTATAGTTATTAAATCTATAACAATAGAATATTACCGTCGCTAAACTCTGGATCTATGTATCTGTAAAAAGGAGTCATTGCTGCACCCCAAATAGGATTTTGTAAATTATTGCAGGATCCATTGATTGTTCTATATTTTGAATTGGAATCACATGTCACGGATGGTGCGCATTTCTTGAAATAATCATTATTAATTGTCGCCAAACTTTTCAGTGCTATTGGCTGTTTTTTCTAATGCAAAATAAATTCGTTTAAATAATAAATTCACATAAGTTGAAATTATTAGATTAAAAATGTTTACCTCCGTTTTTGTACCAAATATATATTGGATTACGAAGAATAAGATGATTATTAATAATAATAAGAGTAGCACATTACACAGCCGAAACCATTTCTTTTTTGATTGATTCGTTTTCCCTAAGAGAGGGCTAAAAAACAAAATTATAAAAAACATATACCACTGTGATGTATAGCATGAATATATTTAAAAATAGTTATAATTAATTGCCGTGATTGTAAAAATGTTCCAAGTAAAGGTCAATTTTATTATGGAAAAACTATAAATGTATAATAAACAATAAACAAAAATACAGTTATTATTAAGTATTATTTAGAAATATAAATAAATTGTATTAAATAGTCAGTATATGTGTTTGAAAAATGATCTATGATTTTTGACATATTTACATATTTATGTATAAATACATTCTATATTCAGAGACGTATTAAGGAATTTTGCGACCCAGCTAAGAAAAAAAAACATCCCCTTCTCAACCTATATTTCATAAGCAATAGATGTATATGTAAAAATAAAAAAAACACATGATAGTGAAAACAAAGCATTTTTAGCTAAACTCATAATCTGAAAGTTAAACATACTAGGTACCGATACATAAAAAATGCATTTATTGAATCACATATTACATAATTATAGTAGGCATAAGCGGCACTTGGTAGAAACTCATGTGGGTGCAAACGTTTATGGTGATTCACAAACCGGTTGGTGGGGGGGGGGTGTTTCTCCACGTCACCTAATATTTAACTACTACTATTACAAAAGTAATAAAAAAATTTTTTTGTAAAACTTTATTATATATTTCAATTAGTATAATATATAATTGTAAATATTAGTTATAACTTATAAATATATAAGGAACCTATTTTTATTAATATAAATAATAATAAAAAACAATTACTGTTAGTAACATATATTATAATTAAAATTACATTATATTACTATTGTTAACATTTGCAATTCAATAACTAAAATATAATATAATATTTTTGACTGTTGTCTGTGGGTGCAAAATGATACTTTTGCCCCCCTAGAAAAATTGTCGTGGGTGCAACTGCACCCTCATGCTCCCCCCCAGATGCCGTCATTGATAGTAGGTGTGATTATTATTATTTGAACAAAAAAACTTTAATGTAATATGTTAATCGACAACATTTCAAAAAAAAACTCCCTTAACGTGAAAAATTCCCCCAATTATAAGAATATTTTAATTATCATAAAACAATTCCATAAAATATGATAAGAATAATAATATTATGAGCACAATATCTATATTAATGTTTATGATTACGAACATCGGTAATAAATAACGAGTACATAAACCGATAAATGTTACGAACTATAATAGAGTAAAAATATAATAAAATTTGTATACCAAGTAGTATAAAGTAGAACCTCGATAAGACGGAACTTCGGTAAGACGGAAACCCCGGTATTGCGGAACATTTTTTTTTGTCCCATTTTAAATTACATATAGTTAACTAACCCCGTCAAGATGGAAACCCCTTTAACACAAAAAAATGCCATGATCCCAAGCGATTCCGTCTTATCGAGGTTTTACTTTATAAGATAATCGATATTCAGAACTTTGAAACAAAACATAAAAAATCTTACCTATAAAATAGTGTCCAGTAAATTATAACTGTATTTTAGGAAGTCTAAACAGATTTTGAAACCCAGGAAAAAATCTAAATCTGAGTATAAACCGAAGTCCGAAATAAATATATATACTCGGTTTTTCATTAAAACCAAAACCCGCAGAACAATTTTACCAGGTTTTATTTCAAAATTGGAATTCAATTCGTTAAAATTAATTCAATATAAATAAATTAACTGAAACTCGAAAAAACATAAATCTTGTTTAACCCGTAAACCGAAACCCAAGTAAAATTAACCAGTTTCCATATTAATCGACCTACCAAATAACTATACATTCATTGTTTATAAGATTAATTAATTTTTTTTATTACAACCGTTTTTAATTCCCAAGATAAACACCAGAAAAAGTTTTTTTTCAAAATTTAAAAACTAAATATAAACATATTTGTTAAAATGTACACGGGGAAGTATTTAAAATAAAAAAAAAAAATAATCGTCATAGAATCAATATTTTAATAATAATTTGTCTTCAAACTGCACGAGAGTAAAAAATGATTTTTTTTGTTAATATCTGTTCGTAAAAATCTGGTAAAAATTTGCACGTTAAATATTATATTTCGTCAAGCATAATTTATACTAATAATTTATAATTAAATAAATAATTATAAGAATTAATAATTGTTGAGATTTTATAAAATTTATTTTAAAATATGAACTCACTCGTTTTCAGTACTCGACGACTTATCACGTTTCCAAAAAAGAATTCCCATCTTTGAATAGACCTGTTTCGACGAGTATTGTCGTTAAACTGACGCCTGAGCGCATGAAATGGGTCTTACTGATTAATATATTCAAACAATCCGGTACCAACTTCAATAATATTTATATATAATATTGTACATAGGAGATGCTAATGAAAGAAATTCAACTGATTTAATACGAACTTACCAATATGAGCCTTTAAAATATATAATTTATAAGATAACCTATACGTAAATACAAGTCATTAAGTAACATCTAATTTTACAATATTAATTTGATACTCCCACTCTATTACTCATACAGTAATACGCCACAGTACTATCATAAATTAATGGTATTATATTATTTTAAACTGAGATTTATTTATATTATATGTTTAACTAACATTTGTAAATATAAATAAGTTAATTCTAAAAATGTTAAGCTAATATAAATGTGATGGATTTTTTAGTGTCGATTCAATTTTTGGGTTAACTTTTTTTTTAAAGTTCCGGCGGAGAGAAAAATATCTGAAACACATTTCGTATTCAATACTAATATTTATACATATATATGCGTTCAGGAACGGCGCGAGGAGGTGGGCAATAGGGGCAATTGCCCAGGGCCTCGCGCCTTAAATTATAATTAAGACCCCGCGTTAGGTTAGGTTAGGTTAGATTTAACTGAATTTAAAATAATTTATTAATATAAATTATAAGACCCAACATTTATTTTGCCCAGGGTCTCACAAACTCTAGCACCGTCACTGTATGCGTTTTTTTAGAGAGTCATTTTCGATTTTAACTGTGCGCGTGTGCACGTGCGTGTATTTATACAAATTAAAATCAACCCATATAAATTCAGTTGATGATAGGAAGTATACGTGTTTTAATTGAATAATTTTATATGCTTCTTAGTTTATCATATGTTTACTGTGATCGTATCATAACGCGAAAATAAGAATTACATAATGATTAGTTATGAACAATTACAATAATAAATACGATTTTATCATATTAATATTCATGTGTCACAATTATTAATCAAACACTGTAATCTCTTTATTGTAATTACGAACCGGACAGTGAGTATCCAATTTTCGAAGAATTAAACCGATTGCGCAACGTTTATTGAAATATTATTTCCAGTTCGAGTAATGTAAAATAAAAAAAAAATTTAATCATCGATCGTCGGATGAACGATTTCAAATCCGCACGGAGTTAAATCACGTAAAGAGCATTTAAAAAGTATCGACACTTCCCGTAATATTTCCTATTTTCACACGTTCATATTTGCGAAAGTAAACGATTCGCTTCGGTTCATGATTGCCGCCGTAATGTTGGTGACGCTGAACGCGAAAATCCAATAGAGCCGGTGTTAATACCAAACGATACGGTAAATTCGAACGGAGTCGACCAGACTGGAAACACGTAAACGGTACGAAGTAAAAAAACAATCACAACGCTTTACTGTTGTGGGTGGGATCCGAGAGGAGGAGAGGAGATTAATATTCTCCGAAAATATTCGCGATACGAATAACGTGGTTACAAGGTGGTATACAGAGTACTGTTCGCAGTCACAACCACACAATCTTTGGGGGGAGAGGATTGCTACCCCCCACACCCAAAATCACGTTCCCGGACGCAGTGGTATACATACGAGAAAGGAGGGGGTGGTTCCGGGTTCAAACCCCTCCCAGGGCCAAAAAAAAAAATAAAATTGTTTTATTATTGATGACATGTAATATATTCGTAGTTTTATTATTATGCTTTGAACTTAAAATATACAACAAATATTATAATAATTAAATGATTATATTGATGGGCGTTTGAAAAGTTTTGTTAACTATGCTCTTTTTATATTCCATTAGCTATTAATTTACCGTAACGTAAAAGTAAACTGTAAACTGGTAAAAAAGTTGTATAAAATAATATCTATTTATAGCAGTTATTTATCTGTGCAACGAAAAATGATAAAGATTATTTTTGTTAACCCCCCCCCCCCAGAGCAAAACTGACTGTACGTCACTGCCCGGACGAAACGACGAGCGGTACGATGGCCGGGTTACGTAACGCACAGGTAAAAAAACGGTCGAACAGACGATGCGTCGGTTACGTAACGCACTGGACGGTAATAGTAATGGAAAGTGTGGATATGATGCGGTTACCGGTAGTGGGCGCAGCGGTTTCCCGACCGGTTTGAACCGTTCTGCGGCGAACGGACAAACAAACAGACGTTTCTCGACACGAGATCTAAAAAAAACACGCGCAATTCTTCCGACCGATTGCCCGCGGTCTCGAACCCGTGTCCCCGACGGTCAGGTATGTGTCACACGCAGTGCCGCATTAAGCTATGCGGTCGCCCTGGGGCCAATCAAAGTAAGCCGCCCTTAAAAAAATTACAATTGAAAATCATATACACCGCACTACAGTCAGTAGCGTATTAACAGGTTGGATAGCAGTGTACCGTGCAAGAGCAATACATTTACAAATTACTAACATCCTGTTATGTAAATTTTAAATAGCACATTATTATTTATGTTTATATTTTACGATTGTTAATTGTACCTCACGCGTAAATTTAAAAAATTACCAAATGTGACAAAATACAATCCGCTAGAACAAGTTCTTAATTCTTATCGCCTTGTAACTTGCAGCGCTAGTAGACTGCGGCTTTTTCGTGGTATTTAAGAACGAAATAATATGTTTTATAGTTATACAGCCATAAAAGAAAAATTATAATTAAATATTTTTTATTTTACGTTGATCCTCAAAAATTTTTCGCCCCCCCTCTTGCACGTATCGACCGAAAGTTAGTTTGTTCTATTTCCTTTTCGCTGAACGCGCTTCGAACGCAAAGTTTTGAACGCGCAACCGACAGACAAACGGTCTTCGGGATTTCACGATTAGAGTGCCAACGATTTGATTTTCGTGATCATTGATCCGTTGTATACTGTTCGGTATCGATCGTTGACGCACGTAGCGTACGTGCGTGTTCATTTTTATAGTCAAAGAATTAATTTTTATCTAAATTTTGTTTCGTTCAAAATCTATATGAAAATCTACAATCGCAATGCACAAGAGAAACGCGTAATGATAGAGCTTCGAAGCATCTGGATCAGAATTTCAACAAAATGTTTGAATTTTTTGTACAATTCCATCCAGGTGTATCGGAATTGCATGCTAAAAAAATAAACATAAATTGGAATGTCCGAATCGCATGCCACATCTTAGAGCGGTCTGTCCGAATTGCATGCCGTGTACCCCCAAGTTTGTTTATCATGCACTAATGTGTACAACTTAATCTTTATTTTTGACTTTTCTAAAAAATGTTAAAAAACGGATAAATAGAAATTGATTAGTATCTAGATTGAAATATTTTTATATCCAACTAAACATTGTAATAAAACGTATAAAACGATTGTAGTTACGGGTAATCATGTGAATGTATTTTACATTTTTACATGGCATTTCAAATAAATAATATTATTAAAATTTGATGGAGTTCTTTCGACAATATAAAATAATAATATTAATAAAGATGATAGTTCAATAGTTTATAATAATAAAATAAAATGTAAATATGGATTTATGGAAATGTTTACTCGGGTATAAAAATATTTCAATTTAGAAACTAATTAGTTTATCACTAAGCCATATCATAAAGAATTTAAGTCAAAACAAAGTTTAAGTTGTGCACATAAGTGCATGGTAAATACCTTTGTAGGTATACGGCATACTCCTCTAAGACGTGGAATACAATTCGGATAGGCCTCTCTAAGACGTGGCATTCAATTCGGACCGACCTCTCTAAGAATTGCCATGAAATTCGGACATTTTTTTTTTTTTTTTTTACTGCAATTTGGATACAACCTTCTATCTAAATCAGAACGGACAAAGTTTTATTTTTCAAAAGAAAAAAAAAATTTGCTGTGTTTTTGTTATATTTCTTTAGAAATATAAAACGTCTAAATCGGATTTAGATATTTAGGATATATAGAATTTATAGGGATTTAGTAAATCCCTATATTGCGCGTGTGGATACACAGGGACGGAAAATCACGGCTTGCGTCGCATTAATTAATAGTGAAATGCATGAGGAGGTCCGACAGAACGCACTCTAAGGTGTTTTTTACGGCATGCGTACGGAAATGTGATTTGTAATATCACGAGCAATACTGCTAGACACAGTGGCGCAACGATCACGAAGCAAAACGGTGCAGTGTCCCGGGGTCCTAGAGCATAGGAAGCCAACAGTGTTCTTAGATATTTCTAAGGCTATAATTCCTTAAAACAATTGACAATGTCGATGCGTATAACAGTAAATTCGCAAATCGTACGTGGTAATTCCAGTTGCATACGATCAACAATAATATAGAATAATAATACGCGCGACATGCAATACATTCATTTAGAGTAATAAATTGGATTCCCTTTTCACTAGGTATATCTGGTGATCGTCCGTTAATTATTTTTATTTAACGTGTCATAACAAGTATTTACATTAAAAAAAAAAAAAAAAACTATTAGATGTGTGTACTATGAATTTTTCTAAAAGATTAATATTAGCGAGTGTACTTACTGCACCGAGTGCCTTTCCTACGTAGCTACGCCTCTGGCTGGACAGATCATTTCGTGATCTGTGATGGTCGGTTACAAGCAGGACCGGCGAGAGGGTGGAGCAGGGAGGGCTAGAGCTTCGGGGCCCATACGTCTGAGTGAACCCGTCGTTTCGGCCTTGTATACAATATTTTTGTTGTGCCAAAGCATGTATAAGTGGTCTTGGTGCGTCTTGGTCAAATAATTGCAAAGGCAAGGGCCCAGAGCCGATCAACCCCAGGTCCTCAGAAGTTCTCGTCGGCCCTGGTTACAAGTACACAAGTTGGAAAAATACAATCACACTCGTCGAGTGACACTTATGCGCACGCAACGACACCGTGAGCAAATGCTATCCTGCAACAGTCCAGACGCTTGTAAACCCCTACATCGAATTTAACAAATTTTTATTTTTATTTTTATTTTTTCATTCATCAAAATGAAATATTATTTCAAGAAAATGTACGTTCGATTATCAATCAATCTTTTTAGATACAATTATCTTTATAATTCTTTGGTAAGAAATGGAAGAATCAAAAGGGAAAAAAAATAAAATTTTCCCAATA